GTGTCCACTGTGGCACAGTCAACCACTTAACCTGGGGAGGTTATTCCAACAGTTGACTCATTGTGAAAAATTTACCTCTCTTGTCCGATTGGAATCTCCCCAAGAGCAACCTGTGTCCATTCCCCCTTGTCCTCTCCATGTCACTCCTTGTAAAAAGGGAGTCTCCATCTTCCTTGTAGCTACCCCTTAGGTACTGGTACGTGTTGATGAGATCCCTTCTAAACCTCCTTTTCTCAAGGCTGAACAAACTCAGTTCTCTCAGCCTGTCCTCATACGGCAGGCTTCCCAGGCCTTTGATCATCTTGGTGACCCTTCTCTGGGCCCCCTCCAGCCTGTCCACATCTTTTTTGCATAGCGGGCACCAGAACTGTACAGTATTCCAGGTGTGGCCTGACAAGCACTGAGTAGAGTGGGATAATGACTTCTTCATCTCTGCTGGTGATGCCCTTTTTGATGCAACCCAGCACCCTATTGGCCTTCTTGGCCACAGCAGCACACTGCTGACTCATATTGAGCTTGTGGTCCACCAGGACCTCCAGGTCCCTTTCCACAGAGCTGCTCTCCAGCCAGGTGGATCCCAGTCTGTGCTGCACTCCTGTTCCTCTAAACCCTCCGTATTTGCAGATTTGCATACCTCCATAGCACTCAGCTTTCCCTTGGGGGTCGGGCAGATGCTGGCAAGACAAGGATGTGCTGTATCTGCAGGCAGCTTCAGCAAATCTCCACCACTGCACCTCACTGTAGAGCTGGCAAGAACAAGGTGCAGCACCTCTTCTCCACCAAAAATGCACAATTCCTAGCAGAGACACAAAGTTTGGCTTGGACCTTCTCTCATTTCTTTTTTCTTTTTTTTTTTTTTTTGGCTTTGCAGTGTGGAAACGGCGCCACTGCACTCCGCCCTGGTGTCTATATGTTTAGATGCCAAGGTTTTGCAGCATCGCAACAGCAGTGAGGGGATTTCCTAAAATCTTAAACTGAAATACCTAGCTGGCGGTGTTTTTGTCCTACAGCTGCAAGGCAGTGCTACGAAGATACAATCTAGCTGGGAGAGGTGGTTATGGTAAGGCTATGTCAGCTTGTTAACTTTTGCTGGATTTCCCCTGTCACCCCTGGGGATTACATGGGCGTAGGCGTTTAACTGAGCACTTGCACATGTGCCTCTGCAAAATTGCTTAATCCGCTCACTTCTGTTTGTACTCAGGGATGAGCCAACCTTGATAGATTTCCCATCCATCCTCCCCACCCCTCCAAAAAAAAAAATGATAGTCAAGACTTTCAAGTCTCCTTTCAGTCCAGAGCTGCTTTATTGCAGTAAGTGAGGGGAAACCACAGAGTCATTTGGTGCTTCTCAGGGCAAAAGCTACCCTTTTCTACCCTCTGAATTTTTGAGGTGCTAGCTGATTTTCTAGAAAGAAAGGTGCCATGTACACCATAACCCCCATTCAGCAAAACAGTGAAGAGGCCCGTATGTGGAAAACACCAGCCTGTATTGCCTAACTTTTGCATAACTCCCCTTCCCCTGTTGTTATTTAACAAGGCTGGAGGTTGCATCAGTGTCTGCAGCGCTTCCACTGAGTAATGCTAGATGCCTGTTTTGGCTTTGCAGTGTGGAAATGGCTCCAGTGCAAGCCGCCCTGGTGTCTATATGTTTAGATGCCAAGGTTTTGCAGCATCGCAACAGCAGTGAGGGGATTTCCTAAAATCTTAAACTGAAATACCTAGCTGGCGGTGTTTTTGTCCTACAGCTGCAAGGCAGTGCTACGAAGATACAATCTAGCTGGGAGAGGTGGTTATGGTAAGGCTATGTCAGCTTGTTAACTTTTGCTGGATTTCCCCTGTCACCCCTGGGGATTACATGGGCGTAGGCGTTTAACTGAGCACTTGCACATGTGCCTCTGCAAAATTGCTTAATCCGCTCACTTCTGTTTGTACTCAGGGATGAGCCAACCTTGATAGATTTCCCATCCATCCTCCCCACCCCTCCAAAAAAAAAAATGATAGTCAAGACTTTCAAGTCTCCTTTCAGTCCAGAGCTGCTTTATTGCAGTAAGTGAGGGGAAACCACAGAGTCATTTGGTGCTTCTCAGGGCAAAAGCTACCCTTTTCTACCCTCTGAATTTTTGAGGTGCTAGCTGATTTTCTAGAAAGAAAGGTGCCATGTACACCATAACCCCCATTCAGCAAAACAGTGAAGAGGCCCGTATGTGGAAAACACCAGCCTGTATTGCCTAACTTTTGCATAACTCCCCTTCCCCTGTTGTTATTTAACAAGGCTGGAGGTTGCATCAGTGTCTGCAGCGCTTCCACTGAGTAATGCTAGATGCCTGAAACACAAACACTTAACACCATCTACTTTCTTCAGCCCCACTCTTCCCTCATTTGTTGGATTTTATCCTTTAATCCTCTCAAAATGCTTGTCTTCTCTGCATTAAGAGTAATCCGAGTATCATCTTTAAAAGCTGGCCATGGAAACAAGACAAAAATTTAACTCTCTGGTTCCCCTAGCTCTCATTCGCTATGGAGGAATTAGTTACTGAGGGGTTAGAAATGAAACCCAAGTTCCATTGCCCCAGCCCACGTGAATGTGGCCTTTCAATAGTTGCCGGAAAAGCTTTAAGTTTCTTATAGGACTTTCCCAAATAAGCTAAATTAGCCTAAAAAAAAAGATATTATCCTGAATACAAAGGTCTATGGAGAGATTGTAATGAAACTCCTGGCTGTAAGGCCAAATTACTGTTGAAACATGCTGGCATAATTGCCCTGGATTCTCAGGGTTTAGAAAAAGTCAGGTTGAATATTGTGGACGATATTTAAAGACCGTGGAGGTGCATCTTTAGCTTCCTGTATTTTCAAGTCATTAAAAACTTTCCCAGATCTCCAGAACCACGGGCCACATGCCCAGCACTGGTAACATACCAACTTTTTGAAAAACTCTGCAAACAAAGCACAAGATTTTCTCTTTGTTCCTGTGGACAGTTTATAAACAGGTCTATTACCTAACAAACAATTTTGTTTTGCCAGCTGGGACCCTGAAGGGAGTGAAAAATCTTTTTAGCAGTCAGACACCGTATTTCTGAGCCTCAGGATGCAAAGTTCTCCTGAGAATCTGGCTCTGTAATACCATTATAATATACCCTAGCACAGGGAAGACCATCTCGACTATTAGATTACTGGAGCACAACAAAGCAATGAATAACGCCAGAATACATGCCTTGCTGTGATCATCCCATATTGTATTACGCCCTCCTTTTGGAAAGCCCAGTTCGGAGGGTAACTTATTTAAGCTCCTTCTGCCCAATACCCAGCCTTGCCAGGGCAGCCCAGGCACAGAGGCGGTGAGCAGCAAGCAACAGAAGCAAACCCATGTAGCAAATTGCACCTTGCAACTCAGAGCGCAATGCTTACGTACCTCGGAAGACTCCGCTAGGTAAGAGTTTTTTTGCTGCATGGCATTCATTCACCAAATTGTGTTGGATTGGGTGTATCATCATATGCACGGGTTTTAGTTGTCATTTTGGCTCCTGGTGGTTAAGAGCTCCTTCCAGGACATAGCGCCTTACCTTCAAGCGCCGACTTGCCAAGTGAGAGCCACCCCAGAAGATGTGGGGTTTCCTCTGAGAAGCACCTTTAGGTTCCAGGAGGGCCCCAGACCCATGTTTAAACACCTGAATTGAGCCCACAACATGACCAGGCTGGTGGTGATGTGCCCCAGACAGTAGCAATGAGCTCCCTGCGTTAAGACTTGTCTGGGGAGCAGTCGGAAACTACCCGACGTGTATCAGAATAAACTACATGTTAGTATTGGCATTATCATCACCCAAACGAAGGCTTTGCTGCCTTCTCTCAGCATGGGAAACATCAGCACTTCTAACACTTCACCTTGAAAAAGGATGCCGCTTCCAAGTCAGCCACTTCGACGTACCCTGGGGCCTCTCCTTCCTTGGCCTGCGTCTGGCATCGCTGGTTCATGGGAGCAACGCAAGCGATTTGTTTGAGTATCAGAGCTGGCATCCAGGGCACTGGCTCACTTGCAGTTTCTTCCTCTGTAAAGATGCACCATCTCGAATTAACGGTGAAGCCGAGAGGCAGCAACTCTCCACAGGGGCTGGAGCATGACTGCTGCTGGTAATTTGTATTATTTACCAGCAGGGACATGGCTGTAGAAGGGGTGGGGAGGCCTAAGGATGCCTGTGGTACACTTTGCCACTTTCCCATCATAGGTGTCCCTCCACCTTGTGCTGCCCAGGGGTCTTGCCCCAAGTCTAGCAGTATCTTCAAGCAAGCTCACCCTGTAGCACTAAGTAAGCCCATGTGCTGCTTCTGGAAAGAAAAGCAGAGAAAGCTGGGAAACTCTCAGAATAAGAGAAATGTATCTTTAAGTACAGGTAGGTTCGCTGCCTTAAGTAATAGAAACATTGCAGTATACAGATCGCTACTGCAACTGAAAATGGGCATTTTAAAATCAGATGTGATCATACATTCTCCAGCAAATCTCAGTATTTCTCCAGTGTTGGCAGCAGCGCCACTTATTTGCTAATACTTAAAGTAAATCTGCCAACTCTTACCGATACCGTAATTACACAGCTAGAAGAGACCCCCTGTCACTTGCTTTTATTTCATGGTAAGGATTCCTCAGAAAAACTACAGAAGATATTAAAAAAAAAAAAAAGGATGAAATTCTTCTTGTGCAAAGGGAGTAGCCTGAAGGCAGGACTTTGCCAGCAGTGGGGATTGCTGCCACCCTGCTAACCAGGGAAAGGGACTCCCTCGGGGGAAAACTCACAGGCTGGAAGGCAGAAAGGGAAAAATGAATCACCTAGTGTCCTCTTCTGTCTTTTCAGACCTGAGACCAAACGTGGGTTTTAAAGGCCTCACCTGTGCAACAGCAAACTCTCACTTTTGCTAAGGGCGCTAGTAGTGAGCCATCAAACACAACACAGAGGTGCAGCACTCCCAACGGGAAGGGAAAGCTCCCAGGCTATCTAGCCCGGAACTCTGCCATGGCCACAAAAGCCACCGGCTCTAAGAAATACCTCCAGCTGCTCCTTTTTCAGGTCACTCTTCTAGGGCCTGTCTTCTGTGGGAACGTGTTGGTCTGGCCAACGGAAGGCAGCCACTGGCTGAATGTGAGGATAGTTATACAGGAGCTCATCCACCGCGGGCACAGTGTTACCATCCTGGTGTCCAACGCTTCCCTCTTCATTAAACCCAGGGCTGAGGCCACAGAGAAGTTTGAGGTCTATAATGTGCCCTTCAAGAAAGACACTGTTGAGAACCTGATCGAGGATGTAGTGGCACTGTGGCTGAATAACAGGCCGACCACCTTGACCTTCTGGCAGTTTTACAAGGAGCTGGGAAAACTGTCCAAAAACTGGCACCATATGAACAGGCTAATGTGCGACGCGGTGCTAACCAATGAAGAGTTGATGACCCACCTGCAAGGGTCTAGCTATGACCTGCTGCTGTCAGACCCGGTGACCCTCTGCGGGGACCTCCTGGCTCTCAAGCTGGCCGTCCCCTTCATCTACTCACTGCGCTTCTCCCCAGCCTCCACTGTGGAGAGGCACTGTGGCAAGATCCCAGCCCCACCTTCCTACACGCCTGCAGCCTTGTCTGAGCTCACCGACTGCATGTCCTTTGGAGAGAGAATAAAAAACATCGTGTCCTACCACCTGCAAGACTACATTTTCCAGAGCTACTGGGGAGAATGGGATATCTACTATAGCGAGGTCTTAGGTAAGCCTTCTGCTACTTCACTTCTCATTACACAGCCTCCCGCCTTACAACCTGCAGAGCTAGGAACCTGGCAGGGTGGCAAAGTCAAGGACTGAGAGAGGTCAGCAAGAAGTTTGTCATTATGTCCCTGTGTGGAAAAGCCACCAGGGTCCATCAGTTGTACCCACTCCCCTGTCAGGGTGCTCTGCTGCTACACCATTGCATTGAGACAGGGATCGGTGGTCTTCCCAGTTGATGGATTTGACTTTTGCCATAATTATTTTTAATGTGGAGGTTGAAACAATTTCCACACCATGAAGGGCCCTCAGCAAAGGAGCTTACACATTTCCCCCTCCAGTGACTGCTTGCACAGAAAGCAGCCAGGAACAGAGCTGTTTTCCTAATCCAGGGTATCGTAACAAAGAGGGGGGAGCCAGTGAATTATGAGCCATCCCTGCCACCCTCAGTATCAATACTGAAATGTACTGTGGCTTTGTAATAGAGGCTTCACTTACATCACTGGTCATATAAAACCAATCTTCTCTGCACAAAAAAAGTTTTATTTAAAACATGCCCTCCACCCACAAGCAAACAGTGAAAGCAACAAGTCTTCCTCTGCGGGCTTTTCTTCTGTTTTGAGTGAGTATGTAGAAAAATATGTTTATTTAAGTATTAATCACACGTGATCAACATGTCATTTTTACTAACCTCATATTGAGCTTATGAAAAAGAGCACTTGCAAATCTCTCAGGGTTTGGTGGCCTGCAAATACCTGCATGCAGCAGGACCCCACAAGTACGCCAAAGGCTTGTCATGTGCACAGCAAATGAGGTATCTCAGCTTGGCTTCTCACAGCCCAGCTGCTTCCACCACCCTTATTTTCATCCCGGAAAGGATGCTCTAGGCAGCACAGAAGCCGTAGCAAAAGTCTTGCACAACGACATAAGGAAAACATTGCATAACAGAGCTGGGCGGAAGCCCAGTAATGATGATTTTTAGCACAGCGAAGGGGACTTACATTATTTCTTAACTGCACATCAGAAGGGTGACCATAAATAAAACTGTTTGACAGATTTTCTGGTTCAACTTATAGCACATAATTGGCACCTAGTGGCAGGCAGGACAGCCCACACCATCACCTACCAGCTCTGGCCTCCTGCGCTGCATGCTCTGGAAGAGGCAAGTTCATATGTGGTCAGTCTTACTCTGATACTGGAGTCACAAGCTGTGTAGTTTCATCCACTCTGAGACGCATCTTTTTAGCTGCAGCCCTGAATCACCAGCTTACGTGCATGGCAAACGGATGCTCAGTGGCTTTATAAAGCAAAAGGATGCCCACGCAGTGGGTGAACATCTTTGCTGCATACCCAGCTGTGCTTCAAAGAGCCAGAAGAATGAAAAAGTCACCTCTTCTACCAAACAAGTACTATAGAGACTGTAGTTAGACAGGCAGGAGGGCCAGGATGACCACAGGACACAGTCCTCACTGGACTGAGCCCCGCAGTGCTGACAGCTCTCCCCACAGCTCCAGAGGAAGCACATCTTCCAGCTTCAGCAAGCTGTTTACCACCAGAAGGTGCCAGCTGGTCCCAGTCACTTTTTTCCCCAGGAAAACATGCCGTTATCCAGGACAGGATTTCACACCAGCTATCTTGGCTCCCTGCCCACCAGCGCAGGGCAGTGTCACGAATGCCCAGCCCAGCTCCGGCACGCTGCTGTTGGAGGAAGGCCACTGGGGCATTGCCACACAGAGCAGGCTATGGCTAGGAAGGAGTTGGCAGTGATGTGGCTGCTGGCTGTGTTGGGCCAGGGGTCCGGGGGTAAGGTGTTGGTCTGGCCAGCTGACAACAGCCACTGGCTGAACATGGAGTACATACTCCAGGAGCTTGTGGTCCGGGGCCACAAGGTGACCGTGCTGCTGCCTTCATGCTTCCTCATCCTCAACCCCACACAGCCCTCACCCTTCCAGTTTGAGGTGGTTGAGGTGCCTATCACCAGAAAGGAGATGGCTACCATACTGGAAGAAGCTTTCTATTTTTGGCTTTACCAGGAGAAAGCGCTACCTGTCTGGGAAAAACTTTACAAGATAGCTCAACAGGTGTACAAGCTGGAGAATGTAACCAAAATAATTTGCAATGAAGTCCTGAAGAATGAGGCGCTGTTGGAAAGACTGAGGGCATCCGCCTTCGACGTCCTCTTGGCAGACCCACTGGCACCCAGCGGGGAGCTGTTTGCTGAGAAGCTGGGCATCCCCTTCGTGTACACCATCCGGTTCTCCATAGGGAACACGGTGGAGCGGCTCTGTGGGACACTCCCAGCACCTCCTTCCTACGTACCAGCCACCACAAGCCGCCTAACAGATAGGATGTCCTTCCTGGAAAGACTAAAAAACATCTTCAGCTACGCTGTACCGGATATCATATATCATTACCTTTTCTGGGGAAGTTGGGACCAATACTACAGTGATGTTTTAGGTAAGGCTGCTCTCACATCCAGAAATTATGTCTGCTGTACACACAAGAGTAAATACCCAGAGCTTAGAGGTTAAGGCACAGATTAGTAGCAAGACAGCCCTGAACTCACTCTCTTTACTCCAAAATACCTGTGTCAAGTCAAACAATTCAGGCAAGTACAAACGTTACCTGTTAATCCTGACCTGCTATATTAGTACAGCTAAGTGCATACAGGTACTTCTAGATTAGGTAAAACAGTGCTCAAGCCACTTGAAACAGAGCTCGTCAGTCATTTTCATAGATGAATCATGACAAACTCTAAGAACAGCAAAATAATACTATATACCCACCAAACACTACCACTGAATTAAACCTTTTGAAGTAGAAGTAGAAAATGGTTTTAGAAAGCTATACAACAATACCACCTTTTCTTCCCTAGCACCCTTCTTGCTTGCTAGCTTATCTCCACATGAGAGGGAATGGCCTCCTCCTGTCTTTTAAAGGCTTCGGAGAGCAGCTGAGCCCCCATCTGCAGTGATAAAAGGCCCTCAGAAGAGACAGGGTTCTTTGCTTTTCTGAAAGTGTCTAAAAGAAATATTAGAAGATAGTTGCATTTATTTTTAAGTTTTTTTCTCTTTTAAATAATAGTTGCATAATTATTCTCACATTTTTGCTCTAAGTGATTATTGTCATGCTTAGAAGGAAACAGGGCAAACATACATGCATTGTTGGTGGGCAGATAAAATGGATATTATTTCAGTATGAGACTCTAAGTGGTTTTATTTATATTTCACTAGTAGGGTGTAATTCTGCTAAGAAAGCCAAGTTGTCAAGACACCCTACTACTAGAGTACCTAGCTCTGTGTTTACTTGTGTTGCTTATCATGTTTGACAGAAACTAGAAGAAGCATGGTCTGCTGATCTCCTGTTGTGTAAGCCTCAGCGCTGCTTGGATCTTGTGTTGTCTCTTATTGTTAAACGTGGGGTTTAGCATTTAAGGCTCCATGTGCAATACCTGGTTTGTTAGCTGTGGTAGCTTAGCTGTTCTCTACCCTGTCTGTGATTTGCTTTGATCTGGAGTGTATCCAGTCCTGAAGGAGGTGTGAAAGGAAGGGGCCAGCATCTCACAGAAATAGAGCAACATGCCAGCTCCTGCAGCTTATGCATGCGCCTTCTCTTTCTCCTTGGAAAACCATCCTCAGGGTTCTTATTATTCTAGCTGCTTTCCAAGAGCTACCTAAAGGCTTTTTCGAGTGATGAGGTTGAAGCATGATGAAAGGCTGCTTGCTCCACTGTCAGTCTAATGAGGGGAGCTCATGCGGTGGTGCTGAGCTCCTGGAGGAGTGCTCAGGCCCTGTTTAGGCTCAGTCTGAGCCTCATTCTCCCTCTGCTCAGGAGACAGAAGCTGCCTGTTCTTTTTCCCTGAACACAACAGTAGCACCAAACATCTCCACTACACCTGCAGGATGCCGTCAAAAGGAGAAGTCAGGTCTCTTACCTTGGCAGTACCTGTCCTGGACTACATGATATGGATACACTGATGCCACTCTGCAGCATCTTCCCGAAAGAAGGCACAGAAGCAGCAAAGTGAGCAAAACCTGTGCTCCTCACCTCCTCCTGTTTCTCTCCTGGGGCAGCCTGATGCTGGAGTCACCCCTACCAGGATTGTGTCCTTCCAGCGGCAGTGCTGTGTCCCCACAGCATCTGGTTATAGAGAGGACAGAAGAAGAGCACCCTGTGGGTGAGTTGGGAATCACTGCAGGACATTTTGCACCTAGTAAATGAGGAGATAAAAATTGCAACCAGCTTTACAGGTAGGTTCGTTTTTACAGAGTGAAGAAGCAAATCTAGGCTGTAGTCAAGCAGTAAGATGGGGTTCATCTTGTAGCTGTCAAGTAAGTCCCATGGGCTGCTCATGTGCTTTCCCTAGCTTAAGCTCCTGCTTGGTATAGGAATGTGTAACTTCACCTTGAAGATCTGGTATGAGGGCATATTGATTTTAGCTGGAATAGAATTAATTTTCTTCAGAGTAGCTTGCATGGGGCTCTATTTTGGATTTGTGATGGAAACAGTGTTGGTAACGCAGGGATGTTTTCGTTACCGCTGAGTAGTGCTTACACAGCGTCAAGGCTGTTTCTGCTTCTCACAGGCTGGGCATCAGTCAGTGGGTGGTGAGCAATTGCATTGTGCATCACTTGTTTTGCATAGTCTATTATTATTATTATTATTATTATTATTATTATTATTATCCTCTGCCATTTTATTAAACTGTCTTTATCTCAACCCACGGGTTTTACTTTTTTTTTTCTGATTCTCTCCCCCATCCCACTGGGGAGCTGGGGCGAGTGAACAGCTGTGTGGTGTTCAGCTGCCTGCCGGGTTAAACCACAACACAACCCATGAGCTCTCTAACTTTTGCCCTTCCGATTCTTTTCCCCTCCTACTGCGGGGGAGTGAGAGGCTCTGTGGTGCTTAGCTGCCTATTAAGATTAAACCACAACACAGGGAAAGGGCTTCTGGTCCTCACATGCTGCAAAATGCACTTCGTGGTGAGCAGAAACAGGAGTTGCTGTCATTTCGAGATCAGCTGTGGCTCTGCAGGAGAGTCCAGAACAGGATTTGCTGCTTGCCCTGTCCTCCTGTGAGTGCTGTTCTGTGTTCTGATATGCCCTCTCGACAAGCTTGGCACCAAGTACATCTCACTTTTATTGGCTGGCTCTGAAGTGTTTGCTCACTGGAGCGGTGAACTGCTTCCAGCTTGGTCTGACTGGAGTTGTAGATGGACTGCTGAGATGATGGGGCCAAGGTTCCCCTGGCTGCTCTGGGCCTACACATGCTGCTGGAGTGGTGGCTTCTGTGGGAAAGTGGTGGTCTGGCCCACCGATGCAAGTCACTGGATCAATGTGAAAACGCTGCTGGAAGAGCTTGTTCTCCGGGGTCATGAAGTGACTGTGCTGGTGCCCTCAAGTAATCTGCTCATCAACTACCAAGACACTTCCTCCCCCTTCACCTTTGAGGTTCTGCAAGTCCCCTTTACGCAGAGGACCTTGAATGCCGTCATGGAGGACTTCCTCAATTTCTGGATGAATGAGGTTTCTAATCTCTCTACCTGGGAGATCATGTGGAGGATGAAAAAGGACCTGGAGGTCTTTACCAGTATGTCAAAGCAGACCTGTGACACCTTGGTGATGAACCCTCAGCTGATAGCAAAGCTGCAGCAGGCCAAGTTTGATGTTCTGGTTGCTGACCCCCTGTCTGTAGGCGGGGAGCTTGTAGCAGAAATCCTAGCAATCCCTTTTGTCTACAGCTTCCGCTTCTCTGAAGGGAATGTGGTAGAGCGGCTCTGCGGTGGGCTCCCGTCCCCACCTTCTTACGTGCCTGCTAGCACGAGGGGGCTGACAGACCAGATGTCCTTTGTGGAAAGACTACAGAACTTCCTTTTTTACTTTTACACGGATTTATTTTTCTTGAAGTTTTGGCGAGATGAATGGGATGGGTACTACAGTAATGTCTTAGGTAAGGCAGCTGTTCACTGGTTTCTCTTCTTGCATGGGTTGTGACTTTTGAGCTCAATGCTGTTGTCTCGAAATCCCTTCTCAATGGCCATCAGAGATAGTAATCCCGTTTTGGTCACATGGAAGCTGTGATTTCCCTTTTAGGTCTGGTCTAGTCTAACAGACACCAGTGCAGTATTGCTCTAGCTCCTCTTGAGGATCTTCAGAGCACATAGTTCTAATTTTTGTCAATGATGCTACTGCTGGTGAGCTCTTGCAGTGAGCTGTATGCTCATTTTAGTGCTTTCAGAGGACAGTTGTTGCCTCTTCATCTTGATGACAGGCACACCTACAATTAAGATGGTAGCAGATAAAGGCTGGAGGGCAAAATCATTCCTTAAGTAAGTGTAAGGCACTGGAGACAGCTCCATGGACAACACAGGGATGGAGTTAACCCTATGGTAACAAGGATCACTGGCTGTCTCTGGACAACTGCAGAGCAAAAGAGCACCCTTCATTCGCATTGCATACGTTATCTGGAGGTATCATCTTGCAGCCCTGTGTAGTACAGGGTGCTAAGCGTGAGTTTGTGTTCTCCAATAATAAATGCTAAGAACTGTTATCTTTCCCTTTCATTCTCCATTCAGAGTTTGAAATAGTCTCCTCAAACTACATATATACTGAAATATTTATTCCAGCCTAGTACACCTCAGACTTCATTCAAAGTCTATTAAAGAGACCTTTTAGTTCAACGGACTTTGAATCTTGTACAGAATATCTATGTTTAGGCAGATAATGAGTGAACAGCAAGCACAAGGGCATCTGTTCTGTTGCCCTCCAATCTCTTCCTGCATTTCCCAAGAACGCCTCTATGCTCTGCAAACTAGTCCCTTCTCCCTGGATAGATTTTCTTTTTTAAATACCACAGAAGACTTCATTAGACCTTTATATCACTCTACTTGTAATCCAGACTTAATTTTCATTCCAGTAACTTTGTAAATGACTTGTTGCTCTTTACTTAGAATAAAATAACAAAAAATTACTGGTGTCAATTGTAACACTGATCAAGTAGTATAAGAAGATGCCCTACAGATAATTTTTATCTTGCTGCTTATCTTGCTTGGTTCCTGCTGGCTTTGGACAATCATTTACCAACAATTCTAATCCTTTTACTCCCTAGTTCCATTTTGTGGTAAAAATACCGCAAAGACAACTTGCACCATGTACCTGAGAATATGGATTTTTCTAAATAGGGAGCTATAAAACAGTTTTACCCATTGAATTTTTTTCTATAGATGGATTCTAGAGACACTGGATTTTGCATATAAATGACATTTGAAGAATCTATAGACTTGGGCAAATTTTCCCAGTTTGTGTCAGAAGGAGCTGACCCAGCCCCAGAAGAACTAGGGATGGCTGTACCTGTCTTTTATTGTAGTCTGAGCAGCTACTGACTGAGTTACCATTTGAAAAATGACACAGAACTTTGTTTAAAATATTTCCTCCTCCCTAATTGGTGATCATCACTTTGCAATTAATTTATTTTTTATTTGAAACTCAATTTTCTATGATTGTTCTCTTCCCCAAAGTGTGTTTTTATTACAAGCACAGGTAATGAAGTCTTTCAGCAGTACAAGAATTGCACTTCTGTATCACATAAACTAAATGCTTCCCACTTACTCTTGTACTGCTCTAAATTCATCCTGAAGGTTCAGGATCACCTTGCTGGTGGCAACCTGCCAAGGCCAAACACAGGACAGGGCAAGGAATAAGTTAAGTCTGGATTTGCCCATGTTTTCATTTCATGCATAATTTGATAGACCACACTGACTGGGAGTGCCAAAAGACAAAGGTAAGGCTCCTATTTTGCAATCTACAGCAAACAAGAGCACTCCCATGCGTGTTGTAAAACTCTCGTACTATGTCCATAGGAAGGCCCACAACCCTGTGTGAGACGATGGGGAAAGCGGAGATATGGTTAATCAGAACATACTGGGATTTTGAATTTCCACGTCCTTTCCTGCCCAACTTTGAGTTCGTTGGAGGACTTCATTGCCAGCCTGCAAAGCCCTTACCAAAGGTATCCCAGCTTTGTTCTGCTATTGGTTGGTTGGTTGCCCAGCAGAACAAAAACTGTTTCTTTCTTGGATCAACTGTGCAAGCCATGTCCTGAGAAAGCTCATTCTTAAAGAAGATGCTCTGCTGCGGGTGGGGAACATGGAGCTATTTAGCAATCCATCCAGACTTGTGCAAACTGAGGGCTGGGTTTACAGCCTGCTGTCTTACAAGAGGAAAGCTGAGGTCAGCAGGAGGTAATACAGTGTTTGCTTTAGGAAAAATGGGTGCTGCCTCAGAGTAGTTAAGTGTAAGATTTAATACTAAGATACAGACTTGCAGCCCATGATAACATTGAAATACCTGCTGTGAAAAAGGACTGTGACAGGCCAAATTCTCTAGACAAAGTCAAGACTTGCAAAAAGACACGAGTGATAAAGACTTTTTCTATTGCTGCTTAGTTTAAGACATCTTAAAGGGAGTAAAATCTTCAGCATCTCCAACCTACGCTCTGCTGTGACTGGCAATATTCAGGTGGAATTTGAAACTCCCAGATATGGATGACAGCAGCACGACAAGCTCTGGTCTAGATTATCACTCCTGTAAGAGTGACAGGAGGAGGTAGCGTATTTTCAGTGCAAGTCATCTACTAAAAGAAACCTTCTCTCTTCCCACTCCCCTGTAGCAGAGGTTGAGTTGGGGGAAATGGATAACCATTCTCTTTTGGATGCTATTGCTTCATTTCACATGACACTAACTAAAAAAAGGAACAGGAAGACCTACTGGTCTGATTTGTAGAAAATCTGTTTAGCAACATGTGCTGTATTGCAAGAAATAGAGAACTGGCTGACTAACAAAGTGATAGCAGCAAGTCGATGAATCTCTCGCCAGGATGCTGAAAAACCCTGTCAGTTTTCAGCACCGTCCCTTCCTGCAGAGCTATGAAATGTAAAGTAATTGTTCCAGGAAAATCCAGAACCATGACTGACTATGCGAGGGAGGGTGTCACGGGGTATGGCCCTCTCACGCCAGTGCCA